GCCCTCGCAATTTCGAATTCAGATGCCGACGAGTCCTCCCGCCGCTTTACCCTTCCAGAAACTTTCGCGCGGACTCTGTGAGTTCGACGCCGAGGCTTGAAGGCCTCGAACCAACCACCTCCACAGCAAAGCCCCGAGGGTTCGGCCACTTTGTGAGGCCGATGACGAGGCCTGAAGGCTTCGAACCCACCACCTATCCCCCAAACCCCTGACGGTCAAAGTTTGGTCCTCCGCCTCCATGGCTCTCTCCCCTTGATGCCTTTTTCCGTCCCGATGCATGACGACAGTTCGTTTTTGCGGAAACCTTTTTTGATTTTATCGTTTCGGAGTGATCCGACCCCCACGGGACTCCGCGACGACAGTTCGACTCCAGGGAAAACCTCTGGCACGTAAACGAGGGCCTCCCGTTCCGTCCGGGAGACTCAACCCTTACGGCCAAAAATCCTCGGCCACGCCCCTCCTAGAACTCTGATCGGCGACCCCGTACGGGAAGCCGCGAGGGGGCGTGAGGTTGCGTATCACAAGCCCTCCGCGATGGCGACACTAATGGTACCTGCGCCGCGGATCCTACCTCATCAATGGTCCCTATCCACAACGATATCCTTTGCTGCCACCCGCGATGGCTACGGCGTAAGGTCATCAGCGTACTGTGCGAGGCGGAGAGGTTCCAACGATGAGGGCGCAGAGGTTGCTGTTGCCGGATGAAGGCGATTGGAGGACTCACTGAAGCAATGCGCTATCGGACCGTCGGTCAAACGGCGCAATCTCGCCGTCCGATGAGAATGGATCAATTGCACCGTCTTCCTGGGTAGTGATGACGGGCGGCCCTCTTGCGGACAGCGCAGCGGTCCACGTGAAGTTCCTGGGCTTTCGCACATACCGGGAATGCTTGCCCTGTTCCCTTGACAGCTCCTTCCACCCGATCGGAGCAATTGCCCCCGCCTTTTCCGAAACAATGTGCAGTGTCAGATCAGGCCATCGTGCGACAGCCTGGAGTGGACAGGCTCTGGACCTGACTGTTGGCAGTTTTTTTTCGCCCGCCTGCCCGTGACCATGCGCTGAGCCGCCTGGACCAGGAGCCCGCGCAAACAACTGTAGGTCTAGGGTGTCCAGATGCTTAACAATTTTCAGGGGGTTGGCACTTCGCCACACACAACTCTTGAAGACATGTACGCAGCCGCCAAGCTGTTTCGGGAGTCTGGCTTTCAAGAGCGCTGTGTGGCGTAGGGCCCTAAACTCTTGAAAGGGCGGACTCTTGAAAATGTCTAACAACTCCTGAACCCTTGGGTGTTCTCAAGACTGGTGTAGCGAGACCCTAAGGGGCTCGCCACACAGGCTTTCGAAACGCGCAAATCTACTTCGTGTCTTCGCCAAACAGCCTTTCGAAACAAGTTCTTTCGAAAAAGTTTCGAAAGGTGTCAGATTGGCCGGCGTCGAAAGTCATTTCGAAGAGATGAGTTCCTCCCACCAGTCACGAGCTTTTCCTCGAAAGACCTCGAGTGGTCTTGTGAAAAGGCTCACGCAAAACGGTCCATTGGCAAAAAAAAAAAAAAAGGGAAAAAGGGGTGATTCCAAGGGCCTGGATCCACTACTCTCTACATGCACAAAAGACAAAAATTACGGGGGTGTATCTTTCCATGTTCTAGGCAAAGATTCACACCCTCGTTTTACACGCCTCCAGAGCAGTGGATTCAGGCCCAAATCTGCATATGGAAAGGCCACATTGATTCTTTCCAGATTCAAGGATTCATGTTATGATCAGCATTTGGTATTGGAGGGCACTAGCGATGGTCTAGAATGGCCCTATTTGGAATGCCAAGTACTGGTGGGAAAGCAGCCGGTCAAGGTCCATTGCCAGGCCTTACACAAAAATCAGGAGAGCATTCTTGATGCTGGTGGCATAGTGTTTCGGAATTCGCAGAACTTCAGTTCTTATTGCTCCAAGAAGCAAAGGTTATTTCCGGACTCAATATTTGACAAAGCCCTGGTCAACTTTAATATTAACGTAGGGGGGTCCTGGACCGAGTGGGTCGATGTTTTACCTACTGGGCTTAATCAGTTATCTGTAGGGCTGTGCTTTTCGCAAGGCCCCTTCCCTTTCTGGCGGGACCTTTTCTATTGTCTCCGCTTCTTGTGATATCGTAGTACTATTTAGGGTTGTGCTCTTTCTATGTTTGTCAACTACCGCTACGGTAACCCCTTACCCCTGACGATGGCCGGTACACTGGCGGACCGGCCGAAACATGTAGGGTAATAGCCAGCTTCGCTTCAAGATACGGCGCGTGCGATTAGGCGTGCTTCGCCTTTTTTGTGTTTGTCGACCATCATTGAAGAATTTTTGAGCTGGCACGCTCGGGGGACTACACTACCTTCTATCTTGCTCTCTATCTCCCTCCTCCGATCCTCCTCCTCCTTTTTCTTCTTCTCCATGATTGCCTCATGTGTATCTCACATGGCTTGCTATGTTCTACGTTGTGACGCCCAACCTCACGCCCAGCTCGACTTCCTGATGGGAGTGGGATGGGGGCCCGGAAGTGCGAAAAGGGGTGTGCCAAGGATTTTTGGAAAGTGGGGGTGGAGTCCCTGATCGGAACTGAGATCTCCTGTGGCAGGTTCCATGGGTACAGGTGCAAAAAGGGGATATACTCAGAAGGGAGGTAGGCTGATGTCATGCATCATAAGGCAGATGGCATGCGTAGTGCATCTCCGGCTACAGCTCCGGGACACTTCTCGCCGTACCGATAGATTTAAACACTCTTGCTTTCCCGAACAAAATCCCAACAACGTTGCCCCTGCCAACAGGTTTGACGTTTAAGGTCCAAAGGGAAAAGGAATCACCATCGCCGTTGGTTTCGTCTTCGAGATTGGTCGCTCTATTCGGCCAGTTGTCGGTGCTGTCCGTAACAGGCCTGGGGTTCTGCCGAGGCAGGCCGTTGTGACGCCCAACCTCACCCAACTTCCTGATCGGAGTAGGATGTGGGCCTGGAAGTGCGAAAAGGGGTGTGCCAAGGATTTTTGGGAAAGTGGGGGTGGAGTCCCAGGTCAGAACTTAGATCTGCTGTGGCAGAGTTTTTCAGGGGCACGGGTGCAATTTGGCAGAAAGGGCGGACTGATTCTGGTCATAAGGCAGATGGCATGCGCAGGTCACTCAGGACCGGGCGATCCATCTGTTTTGAGGACGGCGGTTCGCCGAAGGGTCCCTTCGGATTGGGCGTGGTTCCGATGAGTCAGTCCGTCGGACGTCGCCATGTGGCGCCGGTCGTCGCACGTTCGGGTTAGGCTTCGGGCTCCCGGAGCTCTTTGGTCGTTGCGTCGCCGACAATTTCCGCAGGGCGTGCTGGGCCAATATGGGGCTATGGCCTTCCACGGGACGACACTGAGTTGATGATACGGGAGAAGAAGACGGAAAGGAGGAAAGTTAGTGGAGATAACGACAAATCCGGGCGAAATAAAGTAGTGGGTGTGGTCTGAAGTGAGGAAATCAGAGCACTGGGCATCGCTGGTTGTGGCACAGTGAAACTCCCTAGGACATAGTCGGTTCTCCGTTAGGCAGGGAAATCTCTGTCGGAGGCTCTCCTCTTTCCAAGGGGTGAAGTATTCTGGGTCGTAGGGACTCTGAGCTCTCGGAGCGTGTCATTAGGTCATTGTAGGGCCGCAGAATTCCCAAAGGCGTGTTTTCGCCGATTACGATCGCTGCGTGTTAGCACGTGCAAGTCGCGCGAACCACGTCGCCCTCACACGTGTTCACACGGGATGATGGCTTCGTTGCTGACGCCTATGTAACACCCGCGGATGCGTCCGCGGGTCCGTTCTCGGATGGCAAACGCAAACGCGTCCGCATCCGCGGCCGACCTGGTCCGCGCTGCGGACCCGATTTTACCAGAATGTTCCTGAATTAAATAATATGTAAAATAAAAAAAAACAAATATGGGGTTGTAGGGAATTTTACGCCCTACAACTCTATATATATATATTTTTTAAAGATGCGTTTTAGGATTTTTTTAAAAATACAAAACCGAAACGATGCAAAAAAAAAAAATGAAAAAAAAATGAAAAAAAAAACTTTTTTTTTTTTTTTTCATTTTTTGTTTGCAGTTGTTTGTGTTCTTCAGTTTGTTGTGTTTTTTGTTTGTGATGAAGATGTGTTGTTCGTGAATAAAAAAAATAAGGAATGAAAAAAAAAAAAAAAAA